CTTAATTGGGATCAATGACTTTGGATGGTGTGAAGAGGGGAGGGGGTGCAGGGAGGAAGGGGAGGCATGTGCCCCCTAGATCTGTGCACAGGGCGAGGGCGCCGTGGGCTTTGCCCCAGGCCCCAAACTTCATTGCTATGGCACTGCATTTTTTTCTGTAATAGGTGCATGTCTAGGGGAATGAGAGAAATCTGAAGTATTTCAGTTGGTAGGAATGGAAGTTGACATGTTAAATCAGTGACTTGTAGATACAACTGAAGAAAGCACAGAAACAAAGTTACAGCATTGACAAAAACATAAGAAATACAAAAAAGAGAACAGATGAACCAAACAGGAAGATTTATGGAGAAAGGGTTAGGAGGCAGTTGCATATTCTATAAAATAGTACACTGATTTCCCTCCTGGAAAGATTCACTTAGGCAATACCATCAATAATGAAGGGGAAAAGGGTAGTCTTGGTAGCAGCTGGGAAATGAAGAGATTAAGGGAAAGGCAATTAAGGAAACTACAGTCATTCTGATGAGAAACTACAGAAGACCAGTCTCTTTCTCTCCTAGGAGACAGAAGAGCTATACACGTGACTGCAAGAGAGAAGGCAGAGAGGATACAGCTGTGCACAAGGGGAGGGAGTTGTGGGGCAATAAGTTCTTGTGCCAATATTGTTATTTAGCTTAACTGTTTCTCCCTGGCCTTTTATATCTCTGATGTATTTACTCAAGTGAAATACTGAACTAAAGAAAACCTTGGAGCGCTGGGGGGGGTTGTTTAAACCATCTGGGGCTTTAAAATGGCTGTAGTCAGTCAGGCCTATTTAAGACAGTAGCTCTATTCAATCGCTGCTACACTTCACATATATTATGTGTTTAAGTGGTCAATCATGCAATAAATTTAGATCAAGCACTCATATCAAGTAAGACAGGCCACAACTGCAGAGTAATTATAACACAATTATCTAGTTAATTGCACATTAGATTTGAACGAGCCACACATGCAAAGTAATTATCACACAATAAAAACAACTATCCAGCTATAAAGAGCCAACCAGCCAAAGTGTCTTACAACTCTATAGCTGGTTTCTATCTAGCTTTAATGTGAATAGGTTGCAGGGCCCTGACAGCATCACTCAGTAACAGTTTGCATCTCAGGAAGTGCAAGAATCCTACAGTAAGCAGGTGCATAGTAAACTGCTCCACACATTACATGTTAGAGACCAAGTTGATAGTTAATGGGCAACTTATGGCTGAAACTTGAAATGTAATACCTCTTTCAAAAGTTCTCATTAAATATCATAGTTCTTGATATTATTGACTGGAAGGGATTTCTTAGGTCATACAGCAGAGCCCCCTGCTATTTCAGGTATCCACAACATAGAATCCCTCTGTTATGCTTCAGATAAAGCTTAATTGGGAGTTTGTTCCTTCCAGTACTTCTACTGACTGAGAAGTTATCAAAAATCCAAATCATAAGACTTTGAATTTCCAGCCTAAATTTATTCAAGGCCAGGATATACTCAGTCCTTGTGCCATGTAGCTTAAATAGTTCTCCCTGCTCCCTGACATTTTATCTCTCTGATGTATTTAGAAACAACAACTCTATTGCCTCTCAGCCTTCTTTTTGCTGCTTTTCTATATAGGGTGGGATATAAATCTAATGAATAATAAAAAGTCCAAGCTCTTTTAATCTCTTCTTATATGACAGACTCTTTCCCTGATCATCCTAGTAGCTTCTCAGCACTTGTTCTAGGTTCATTTAATCTTTTAACATGGTAACCAGAATTTAAATGACCAATGCCCTTTTCAATCTTGCACGCTTCAAGAAGTTTGCACAGCAGCATCTTCCACAGCCTAATGTGCGACTGAAAATTATTTTTTTTATTGGCTTCCAATTTCTCACTTTTTGATTTAACTGATTGCCCCCTTACTCTTCCCATTTCTTATACTGAGCCATACACTTCTACTGTGAGTCTTCCTATCAGATTCATTTCCTCATGCAAGCAATCCCAATCTCTTCACTATCTTTTCACAAAAGAGATTCTCTGGGTCTTTGCGCTGCCTTGACCACTACTGCAGAGTATGCCAAGGCTGAACTACCTGTTTACAAAGCTTTATTACAGTTGCCATCCTAAATCCTACACATCATAAAGTCTTGGTTTTTTTGGGGTTTTTTTTGACTGCTGCTGTACTTTGAACAGGCTGTGGGCACAACGCCATATCTTTTTAGGCAGGTCCATTCTGGGAACAGGAAGAGATGGATCAAATTACTCGGGCAAAAAGAACTAGAGACTTCCTGGGTCATCACGTCCATTTTCCTACTAAAGGCAACTGCGTCTTACGAACATGTTCATAAACCTACCAACCTTAAAACTTAAAACTACTCAAGTTACTACTCCCTGCTGGGAGCTACCCCACAACCTCACCCTCCCCACAGCCAGAAAACTTAAAATGTTCAGCCTTAATTTGCTCCTCACCCACTTTTTCCTTTCATTTGTTCTCTTACTGGCCTCATCCTTTACACAGCTCTTTTGCCCTCCCTGGCTCTCATTTGCCAGGCAGGGATTTCTTAGGGCAATCTTTTATTGGGCCAACACTTCCCCACTGCAGAGTTAAGACAAGCTTCTGAAAGCGAGATGTTCCATCTCAGGTCTCAGATGACCAGGGAGCCCTGGTTTTCTCCCATTAAGAAAAAAAATCCCCAATTTTTAAATTTAAAAAAAAGTAACACAAAATCCACATTTTTTCTGATTAAAATGAAATGCTATTAATATATAGATATCTAGTGGTGTTTCACTTTAATCATGGAAAAATGTGGATTTTGCATTACTTTTTTTAATCCAAGAATTGGGTTTGTTTTTTTGTAAATCAGAAAAAAACCGGATCCCTGCTGATAACTGCACACCAGGAACAGCAACTTCTGATGATCTTCCTGTCATCAGAGACCCAAGGGAGAACACCTCGTCTTTGAATGCTTGTACTGCCCCTCTCCCCTTGAGAGCTGGTCAATAAAAGATCAGCCTGAGCAACCCCTGCCTCTAGCACCATTTCTGGACCATCGTGGCTACAACATCACCCTCAGGCTAGCATTAGGGCTCTTAATGGCCCAGGAGAAACCAGTTTCTCCCGCGACGAAGTGCAGCCGTTTACACGCCCACAGAAGGTTCCGTGGGGCAAGAGACACAGGAGACATTGCCCAGTGCCGCCAAAGGGAAGGCAGAGAGGTGCCCAGCTGGCAGGTGAGCTTAGGCTTGGACTCAAAAGCAGGCCAGCTCTTCAAAGGCGCCTCCCAAGGGCAATTACAGCTGGAAAGGGAACCAATACCAATTACCCCTGGGTTGGCGGGGGAGGGCTGGCTGATCTCACCCTGCGCATGCGCGGATCCCCAAGCAAGCACACAGCGCCCTTCCGCCCGCTTTCTTCATGACCCTCGTTACTCGCCCTCCCCCAGCCCCGCGCCTGCGCAGCAACCTCGCCGCTAGCAGATCCCTGCCCCGCGCCTCGGCTGGGGCTGGGGGTGGTGTGTGACGCAGTAACATTCCAAACTCGCTCCCCCAGTCCCGCTTACCCGGAGCGGGGGTTGCGTCTCGCAAGGCGGCTGAGAGCGCTGGGCCTGCAGCTCCGCTTGACCCCGCCCCCTTCCCCTCATAGGTGGGTGCCTGGAACCGCCCCCCACCTCGCCCGCGTGTGTTCTTTCCCCCCATTGGGCTTTAACCCGCTCCCCCCTCCGCGGTGTTAGTGGGTGCGCACGCGCCTGGCGTTTCCCGCCGCCCGCAGCGCCCACCCGGGGTGGGGCCGGGCGTCTAGTCCCGCACAGCTCCGGACACGCGCAGTACTCGGGGGGCTCCCGCTGCACAGGCCGGAGCCCTGCTCTGGCTCCTCCTGGGAGGAGAGCACAGCCTTCCGCCGCCCAGCAACGAGGCAGAAGCCGGCCCTGATTCCCAGTCCCTTTTCCAGAGTCGCTTTTCACCCCAGGCCAGGCTGCCAGCCCTGAATGAGGTGGGCTAGAGACTGAGCTGCCGTGTCGAAAATAAGTATTTGCTAAGGTTTGTGTCGGTAGACAGACAACATCCCATCTCGCACAGGGAAAATCGTATCTCACAGTGACTAAGGAGCGGGCTTTATGGGCTGGGATGTTGGGGGAAAACCTGCTTCAGGCCCTCCCCCATGCACCACAAGTAGTGGTGAACAGTGGACTCTCCTGAAGGAGTGTGGACAGGGGGTTGCCCCACCCAACCTGGGTTTTTGATAGCTGTACTGACACCTGACAACCCTTGGAGGTTTTTAAGGCCTGGCTGGACAAAACTCTGGCTGGGACCATCTCATTGGGGATGGTCCTGTTTTAACCGGGGGTTGGACTAGATGTCCCTTCCAGCCCTGATTTCCTGTGATTCCTAACCCACCTCAGCCTGTGTACTATGTACCTAGCATAATGAGCTGAGTTTGGGATGAGATTAGGCAAAATCTACCTCAAATCTCACCTCAAGCCACTATCTCAGTCACTGGGGGACTCTCCTGGAGAAGCCTGGGCAGAGCGCTGCTAGACTCAAAGTTTGTTTTCTGAGTATCCTCCCAACTGACAACCCCCACCCCCCCTACCCTGGGAATAAGGAATCAACCTGCTCTCTCAGTAAGAGAGAGCAGGCAGAGGAATGGGGACCATGTATCATCCCTCCCATCTGCTTTACAGGGAGGGTGAGGAACAACCTCTCATGCCTAGCCAAAGGCTTTCACTTCTTCACCCCCAGCCCGCCTCCTAATACAGCAGGAAGAACAAAGGGGACACACTTCTTGCCCCACCAGCCTTCAGAGGCAAGACGTCACTTTAAAGTCAACATTTTTAAAAGTAGCCAAGGCTCCTCAGTGCCAAATCTACAACAGGACTTTAGCACCTGGCACCCATAAGGGACTCCACAGCCAGAATTAGGCACTTACCTTCATTGTATTACAAATGGGAGGAGTCATGCACCTCAGAACGGCATCCACATGTGGTGGGGGAGGAAAGGTGAAGTCAATTTGCATAACACAATTTGCTGAACTATTATTTTTTTGATTGTGTGAGGAATAGCTCTTATTCCTAAATTATTCACAGGAACAGAAACTATTTTCTAGTACTTATCTTCTTTGTGACATTGCTTGTACACCATTGGGTTTCTATTGCGGCTTGTCTTCTGGTTTATATTTTTTGATAGCACAGACTGAGGCTGAAATTGGAAAGAACGTGTCCTTTGTCAGATCTTTTCACTTATATAAAGTGAAACATAATCCTCAAGTTTTATTTACTGAGTCTTTCAAATGTATATTCAAGTTTGTAAGTATATAAATGAACTGTGATCTACAACTTGCTGTCAGAGAAAGATACTAGACTGATGGCAATATGATGGTTAAAGCACTGAACTAATAAGGAACTGCAGCTCATATTTAAGTCCTATATAAGTCCATAAATAATCTAATAATGCAATAAACCTCCTTCTTAGAAACCCCATATGACAAGCCCCAGGAGAAAGATGCTGAAGTAAACATTGCCTGCCTTGTTGCCTGGGTGACTCTCCCTAGGGATGTATCTTTCCTCTTGTAAGGGGAGTGAATTAAGCAAAATAACTCTTTGGCTACCCAGGAATCTTGAGTTATTAATCATCAACTCATGCAAATGGACATACAAATGTGAATTTTGTCTTTGGCATAGGGACAATTGGGGCCATAGTCTTAAGTATGGTGTCAAACTGGCAATCTGATTAGCAGAAAGAGCCTGTGACTGACTTTCACCCACTCTAATCATAAGCAGGATGCCTAGTTATATACCTACCCAGTCCTGTGTATCTTATTTATATATAAATCTATTCACATTTAAGAATAAGCATTTCTGAAGAGAATGGTTTTTAACAATGTTGAAGACTTTTATGAATGAATGAAGTTAATTTGTCACAGATGCTTTAGCCTTTGTGGTAATAAACATTTTAAAAAATCCAAACTAGACATATAAAAACAGCAGTCCTTTATTGTTGTCAGAGGCTAAGTATGGTAACATGTTTGGATGGATTTAGAAGCCTGATCCAGTTCCTAGGAGGAAACACATTTATTTTAGTGATACATGCAGTTCCTAAGGGGAGTTTAGATAATGAAACAACTGAAAGATTCCAGCCATAATTTAAGATGAGAAAGTGACGCCAGATGCTGTTAGTTCCCCTAGGGAAATTGAGAAAACCTTCTATGACTTAAATTTAAGAAAAGGTACTGCTCTAGATACCTTCATGTAATTTGGTTGGAGGCTGTGTAACTGGACTTACAGGAAGAAATGAAACTTTTCTTTATAAAGATAGCCTGCAGGGAGCAATTTTTCACTCACTGAGATATGAGATTAATTAAAGTTATTTACAGGAGGTTTATTGTACTTTAAGATAGTAATAGTTCACTTAATTTGTCCATAACATATGGTAGTGAGTCTCAAAGTCAATGATCTATAGATAGTAAAGTCTGGTGGAAACACTATTATTTGTTCTGACATCCTACATGCCACAAGACAAGACAGGGAACTGCACTGAGTGACTTCTGCATCAAGTCCATGATCTGTTATAGAATTACAACATAACTTTTAGAAAAAGTATCCAACCATGATTCACACATGTCAAGTTATGGAGAATCCACCACAATCTTGGAAAATTATTCCATTGCCTGATTATCATTGTCTTTAAAAGTAGATGCCTAATTTCTAGTCTTCTTGACAGCTATTAGAAATCTCTTTCCTATGTAGGTATGGTTACTGTATTCTGTTCTATAGGGGTTCTCATACTGACCTCCTCATCATAATATTTGGAGGCTAGATCAAACAAAGGATTTAGGTGTTTAGTTCCAAAATTTATATCCACAAAGCCCCTTCTCAGGTAAGAGTTCAGTACCATACTCAGGCAACTACAGTTCTTCTAGATGGGGTGTATTGCTGGTAGACAGGATATATTAAATGGCTATTTGCAGGCCCCTATGTGGCCAGTTCTGTGTGGACTCCTGAAGATTTGAGAGCAACCAAGGCTACTTTAAACTCTACCAGCTGGCAGTTGCTCCCAAGTCATGTCAAAGGCCACAGGAGCCTATAATTCTGACTCTATCCCTTCCGGAAGACTCCTCACATGAAAAGGAATCATCAACCAGTGAATAGTTTGGTTTTCATCTTGTGGGCTAGTTGGCCTTGAGGCCTCTAAAACTGTATCTCAAAAAGGAAGAGATAATTATATACTATTTAACTTAAGCCACCTTTTTCTTTCAGTCTCTAGAAGTGAGCCTTGTTATTTACATTATTACTATTTTCTTCTCCCTCACAGAGATTAAGGAAACTCGATTGGAAAGTTACCATGTGTTTGTAGCAGCCGGATCGTTCTAGCTCTGAGACCAGCCGAGGAAGGAGGAAGTCACACAGGAGACTCCATGGTCAGGTCGTGAAGCCATGTTTGGGAGGAAGAAACACTGGACTCTTGAGGTAAGCTCAAAGAAACTCAGGAATGGTAAAAAAAAAAAAAAAAAAAACAACAACAAAAATCCAAAAAACAACAACACAGAAAAATGTGCGCAAGTATTTTATTCTATTATCTAGGTCTGAATATTTTATTTCTTGTACTGTCTATTGGGTCCTGAAGAGGTGAACTGTAAGCCAGAGTATTCACAAGATGGTTTTTTGTGAAAGGGTGTGCTTAAGAGTGTGGGAGGTATCAAAGGTGAGTTAGCACTGGTCATAGAGCTTATGTCTGTGGTTTCATGAAGTCCAGTTTCTGTGGAGAGGACATAGGAAGAGAAGCTGTGGACAGGAGGTATGCCAGAGAGATCAGGGAAAACCCACAGCCCTGGACGTTTCAGGTTCAGGAAATTTAAAACACATGAGCCCATTCATTGTATTGAGACCAAAATACAGCACCTTGATGAGTATCAACAGGGAACACTCAGAGTAGTACCTGCAGGGTGGCTGTAGTATTCTACCCAGAGGTTTCTAGATCTATCTGGGGTCCTGTGGATCACTAATTCCTGGAACTCTTGTTAGCACACCTGTCAGCTGGGTTTGCTGTAGTTGCTGGTTGACTTACTGCTATTCCTTGATGACAAAGAGACTACTTACTATAATATTAAACACCCAATTCATACGTCATGACAGAAATACTGCACTTTCTAGCATGGAGAGTTGGGAACTATATAGCATACTTAGTGACAAAAGAGTAGGGGAAATTCTGGACAAGGGCAAACTTCAGCTTCACCATCCTCAGATAGCACCTGAATTTCAGTGACCGTTTCTGAAAGAATCCTCCCACAAAACCTGCATTGTTTTATCTTGGAAGATTACAGATTTTTGAAGGTTCCACTACATAGTTAGCAATTCTGACATATTTTACTCTGATTATTGAAAGAGAATTCATCTACTTCGTCTATCTGTTATTCCCAAATTGGAAACTCAAAATTATCATATTTGCTGAAAAACTATTCTACACTGAAAAATATGTAAATAGGTATGCAAGTAAGGTGCAAATAAGTCTTATTTATTTTAGTTTTCTTTATTTACAGTACTTTATATTGCTTACTGTAACTAGTTAATGAGTGAGTGA